TTCGGCCCCCTCACTCCGACTAATACTATCCATAAAACGACCAAAACAACAAGCAAACCAAAACATCCGCAATTAGTTGTTTTGCACGACGCGAGCACGTCTGGGCCCGGGGCGCCTGGCAGATCGGCACAGGGCGTCGAACAGCAGGTACCCCGCGTTGGCCACGCCGTTGGAGCGGAGGCAGGTCCCCGCGGCGAAGGCGCAGGCAGCCGGCGCCCGGTGGCCGTCGTGCAGCAGGAGCAGCCCCCCGAAGGTGGCCAGCGCGAAGCTCCGAGGCCGGGGTCTGCCCATGCCCGCCGCTCTGGGCATCTGATGCTGCATCCTCGGAGGACCGTTGCTGTCCCGTCGCGGCCCTGTCCGCGTCCGAATCCGTGCCGAATCCATGTCGTGCTCGTCGGATCCGCGTCGAAGCCGTGTTCCACGCCAAATCCGCGTCGCGTCCGCATCGAGCCGCCCGCGTAGGGCACAAGGGAAGAAATTTTGGGGACAGGCGAGGTCCCCCGAAGATGCAACGTAAAGAATCGAGGCTCCCCTGACATCTTCGTGTCTGGAAGACATCGCCGCGGGAGGTTGCTCCCAGATGTTCGCGAATACGTTTTGGCACGGTCTCAGGGGAAGAGTTCCACGGTGCGAAACACGTCACGACGTCGGAAGTCTGGGTTTGTCAAGTGTCTCCCGGGGCTCCGTGGGGCCTCCTGGTGGCTGGGGGGGGGCTGAGAGCGCTCCCGGAACTCAGATGACAATGCGCCGAACTGTCTCCTGGGGCCTCCTGGGGCCTCATTGAGGCGGGGTTTACCAGCCTGGAGCATATCCCTATCCCTATGCTGTGCATCTCCTCATCACGATGCCAATCTTAGGGATTCCCTTATTTTTTGAGGGCGAATCCCTAAGATTGTCATCGCCTATACGTTCGAGGCTGGTAAGGGGTGGCCTAAAAACGCCCCCGAACACAGATCGCAATGCAGAACAGTCCTGCTGGGGCCTCCTTGGGGCAGGAAGAGAGAAAGCACTCCCCGAACACAGATCCCAATCCAGAAAAGTAACTCTCCCGGGGCTTAGGGGCCGAATGGCGCTCCCCCAACACAGATCGGAATACAGAACGATCCTCCTGGGGCCTCCTTGAAGTGGACGGGCAAACACTCCCCGAACACAGATCGCAGAACAGCAAATGCCTCCTGGGGATTCCTGGGGCCTCCTCTGCAAGTAGCGGCAAGACTGCTCTGACGGATTCCTTATGCTGCTCAGTTCTGGGGAAGTCTGAGGGACTTCCTTACAATTGATGTAGCAATCGCCCTCTCGCGTGGGACCTCCTGGTAATTTATTCAGGCGCTTCGCCCTCGACGCTCAGGAATCACGCTCTCGCTGTGATGTATTTAGGACTCGCGCCATCGTTTGAGACTTCCTCACGATTCATGCAGGAAGCACGATTCAGCAACCCGCCTGCTCCGACCTGGCCGCGTGGGACAACCTTCAGGGCCCGCCTGTTCGGGTCTACCCGCGCGACCTGCCCGTCTGGTCATGCCACGCGTTTTCTGTTGTTGCCCCCCCCTCCTGCTGCTCTTTCTCGTGCTGCAGTCCCCTCCCTGTCCCGGTGCTCCTGCCTTCCATCCCTCTGCTCTTCTCCTGCCTTACAGGGCTGCGCGAAATACACGTTGCACGTAAGAAAGATATCCCCCCAAAGGGGTACGATCGAAGACGAAAAGGGTGGGTACCGAGAGTTTGGGATATACGTGTTGTATGGCACGCGAGAAGGCACAAGTTTAACCTGATTGTTGGTGTTGGTGATGTTGGTGGAGTTGTTGTTGTCGAACCCCCATTTCTGATACATGATCATTGTTGTTTCCCCCTTCTGGTAACCATTGCACGCTTCAACCAAAGTGTTTCTCCCAGGGCTTGCACCCTTGGTGTGCGATTCCCAAGAGCTCCTCGCAATGAATTAAGTCGCCGCGCCCTCTACACTCAGGAATCACATTCTCGCTGTGCTCCTCTTACGATGTATTTGAGAATCGCGCTATCGCATGGAAACTTCCTCGCGATTCATGCAAGACGCACGCTTCAGCAACCCGCCTGATCGACCTGGCCGCAAGGGCCCGCCTGTTCGGGTCTACTCGCCCGATCTGCCCTTCTGGTTCTGCCACGTGCTTTCTGCTCCTAGCCCCCCTGCTGGGACTCTCTCTCGTGCTCCACCCGCCTCCCCCATTGTCCCTTCCTTCCATCCGTCCTCTCTTCCCCTGCCTTAGGGGCTGCAGGAAATACATGTTGCAGGTGAGAGAAATATGCCACTCAGGGGGTGCAATCGAAAACGAAAAGGGCGGGTGCCGAGGGTTTGAGACATATGTGTTGAATGGAACGCGAGCGGATAGGAGCGAACAGGCTGAAGTTCAGACTGTTCGCTCCTATGACCAACACCAACACGCATGTGACTCTGAACGTGCGTGTTGGTATTGTCGTTGTTGCAACTGTTGTTGTTGTTGCTGAATTCGCACGTTTCGTGAATAAGTACTGTTAACCCCCCCGATGACCATTGCATCATTCATTTAAAGTGCTTCCCCTGGGGCTCCCCCCCCGTTTTTTAATCAAGGATTGCTTGTGGCCATAAAACTGCGCCCCTGGCCCCCGGTGTACAACAACAGCGGCACTCGTCGGATACTTTCTCACAGTGTACTTCAGATTCGGTATCTCGCGCGGGACTTCCCCAGAATGTATCCAGGACTCGCGCTCTCGCGTGACACCTCCTAACTATGTATTGCGGCGCCGCGTCCCCAAGACTCACAGGCCACGCTCTCGCTTTGGACTTCCTTAATTAACTTGGGGATCGCGTTGCCGCTCGAAACTCCATGATGGGTTGACGCTTTAGCAACCCACCCGCTCGACCTGGCCTCCTGAGCCCGCGACCTGCCCGTTAGGGTCCGCCCGCCCGACACGCTAGGCTGGTTCTGCCGCTTGTGCTGCTGCTCCTGACCATCCTCCTGCTAATTTCTCTCGTGATCCATCCTTCTCCCTCCCACTTGTCCATTCACTCCTTCCCTCCTTCCACTGATTTAGGTGGTGCGCCAACTTCAAGCGGCAGGCAGGGAAACCATACCCCCCAAGAGGGGGTACGATCGAAGGCGAAGAGGGCGAGTACCAAGGGTTTGGGACATACGTGTTGAATGGCACGCGAGAATGGCACGCGAGCAGATAACAGCGAACACTCTTCAACATATTGTTGTTGTTGCTGTTGTTGCGCCGTTCTGTTTTTCTCGTTGTGTGTTTCTGGATATGTCGCAGTTTTGGGTTTCTGGTTCAATCGCTAATGTTGTTGTGGGCTTGGTTCGGGTTCCGATCCTGGCGTGGTTTCCCCCGCGTCGGTTAATGTGCTCTGGCGCTTCCATACTCAAGAACCAGATTTTCAGAAAACTCGTAAAAACAAGCTTCGCCGTTTCTCAAGGGCCAACTCGAAGCAGTGGAATCTGGATAAATCGTTGGCTCCGCAAGGCGATCCGAAGATGACACCCTGGACCAGAGAAAAAAATGTTGTTGCAAGCTTGGCAGCCCGCGCTGTGGGCATCTCGGCATAACCCGCGGCCTCGAAGAAGGGGCTCTCGGTGTAGACGCAGCTGTGGAACACGGACGCGGGCGTCGCGCAGTACACCAGGGCCTGGTGCACGCGGTCTTGCGTGAGAAAACTACTCCGTGGTGGTCAAATGCGGACCCCAATAGCTCCCAAGGGCGCGCCAATATCGTCCCAGGGGTGATTTTTGAGGCTCCGACGGGGGGATGCTCAAAACGTCGTCGCCGTCATCGTCGTCGTCGTCGCCAGCGTCGTCGTCCTCGTCGTCGCCATCGTCGTCTTGGTCGCACTGTCGTCAGTTTCGCAGGTTCTGAATACCTCCCGAGTGCGACACGGGCGACTGTAAGCCAAACCATGAGCGCTCGTCCTGCTACAGCCAAGGACTTCCCGTTAAGGGCCAGGCGTGGGCGACTTGCGTGCGTGAATTCCAAGACGCACGTTTCGTCGCACTTAGACTTCGTCAAGAGCCCCACCGATCTCACTACTCTCCAGGGCCATCGGGCCATTACTTCACGACTCGCGCCTGCAGCGGCCGTTCGGGTCGATCTGGCACTTCCTCACGCCTCTCAATCAGGCGCAGCTGCTGGAACGCATCCCGAGGCTGGAACAATACCCAACCCCCCCCAAAAAAACTTCCAACGTCGATCGTCCGATCCACCCCCCTCCTGGGCCTATCCCCCACTGTCGCTGCTCCCGACTCGCCTACATGCAACAGTGACCGTGGGCAAGAGTGACCTTGGTTGGGCGCCTGACTTTAGGTGGGCCGCGGGGGGGGGGGGGGGGGCAGACTCCCGCGCGCATGCCACTGCAGGGGAGCCCCTGTGGGCCCGCATCAAGGGTCACTCCAGCAGAGGGTCACCCCCGACCCCCCAACGTGGAGCCCTGGAAGTCTGGAACGGACCCCTTCACTGACACCTTCCCAGGGACGGGCGTTGCATCCTGAGTCGTCTTTGCAGACAGTCCTGGGGCCCGGCGAGGGCCCCTGGGAGCTGAAAATCACACAAAACCTCGCGTCGCGGTTTTTGTCACGATGCCAAAAAGGGTATGTTGGGACTCGTACGCACAGCCGACTGCCCCTCCACAGTGGGCTTGGAGGATCGCGCCGCATCGCTCGCCGACGCATCGGCGACGTCGGCATGGAGAATCGGGCCCCACATCGAGCCGCATTCCCGATGCATCGACGATGACGCGGGATCCTCCGACCCCATATTTGAGGGGCCTCGCCACGGGCCCGCACCAGCAGCAACTCCGGCGAAGGGCCACTCTTGCGCACGGCCGGCTGTGGGGAAACAAAAAGATAATTGGACCCTGCCACTCCCGGGGACGCTCCCGGGATTCGGTCTGACAGGGCCTTCGAGGCGAACCCAGCCGTGGCGATGCGGGCCCCCCAGGACGCCCAGGAGGCGAAAGCGAGGCAAGGAGAGCGGCACTCTTAAACCAACGCTGCAAACAAACATATAAGCTTTCGAGGGTCCGCGCGGCCGCATTCGATCTGCACCGGACCCCCCCTCCCTGGCGCGCGGAGCGCGCCAGGGGCGCCGCCAGGGGGGCCCAACGCCGATCCACGAAATCCGCGAGGACCTCCGAGAAACTATGATTACGCAGCCAATTTGTTCGTCCTGCGCTCTCCTCCGCCGAGGCAGAGACCCCCCCACCTCCTGCGACGGGCCGTCTGGCGCCCCGTGATTCCAGGGCGAAGCCATCCGTGCGGACTGGGGCCTCCCAGGAGGCCCAAGAATTGTGATGCGGGTAGCCTGCTAGAGTCTATCCGATGAGTGATCTCTATCAAGATAGGCCTCGGGTTAAGCAAAAGATTACCCCAGACGGCGTCTGAAAAGATTTTGAAAAAATGAAAAAAGATTAAAGGCTACCCACGAAAAGATTACAGCTGATCTTATCAGAACAAAGGCAGCCACTGGGCCAAGAAGGCGAAACCGAGACAACGGTGGCGGAACACTTTTCTCAAGCCCAGCGTCGAATCGAACAGTCGGATTGGCGATCGACATGCACTGGACCGGCAGACATCGGCAGCCAAGTCGGGAGAAGCCGCAACGGCGGAAATCTGGAGGCCAGTAAGGCCTCCACACTGAGACGCCGAACTCAAAAACAGGCACCGAGTCGGATCGGAATCGGAATAGCAATCGAATATTCGCTGGCAACTTATGGGAGCATCCCATACCATCTTGTCCGCTCTTGCGAATCGACACTCGTCGACGCTCAATCAACGCTCACCGACGCTAAACCGACGCTGACCGACGCTAAGCGACGCTAAATCGACGCTAGCCAATGCTAAATCGACCCTCCTCGACGCTAAAGTGAGTTCAGAGAGTACATCCGGCTCCCATGATTTGCCACCGAACGAGTGGAATCGAGTCGGAGACGTCGAAGTGCGCCCTGCTCTGGGGCTGGCCCCCCAAACCCCCCCGCGGCGGGCCGTGCGGCGCGCCAGCCGCTCCCCGAGCGTGCGCCGCGTCAGCCGGTGCAGGGCCACCGCCGACGCCACGAAGCAGCCGTTCGCGGCCAGCAGCCCCGCGGCGGCCAGGGCCGCGGGCGAGCCGCCGCCGGCCGAGCCCGCAGCGCGGAGGGGCCAGAGGAGAGACAGACCCTCGGAGGAGGCAGAGGTACCCATACCTCTACCCTCCGCCCGTCTTCCCCTTGCCCTCGTCGCCACCGCTGGATTCGCCTCGGAATCCTGGTCAGGACGCACCCCGGGAGAGGTCCGGGGAGTAGCGGTATCGGTACCTTATGGGCTGACGAGAGCCAGATATGTTGTTGCCCAACCATCCTGTGGTGTTGGGTCCTCGTTTTGAAGAGACAGCGCCCCGCGTTCCCCTTCTCCTCTCTCCTCTCCTCTCCTCCTCCCTCCTCCCACTCCTCGCCTCTGCCCTCCGCATGTCTCTGTTTCGGCACACCCAGTACGCGTTCCGTGGCCCTATAAGGGAGCTCCACCGAAGGCCCCAGTGGCTGCGTTCGCATGCCGCCACCTCGCCATTTCTGCGCACCCCTCACACGTTTCGTGGCCCCATAAGCAGCTCCACCGGAGGGCCCAGTGGCAGGGCCCGCCTGCCGTCACTTCGCCATTTCGGCATTCCCCTCGCACGTTCAGTGGTCCCATAAAGAGCTCCACCGAAAGCCCCAATTGCAGGACCCGCGTGCCGCCACCTCGCCATGTCGGTACACCCGTCACACGTTTCGTGGCCCCAGCGGGGGCTCCACCGAAGGCCCCAGTGGCTGCGTTCGCATGCAGCTCCACCTCCCCATTTCGGCGATCTTCTCACGCGTTACGTGGCCCCACAGGGTGCTCCACTTGAGGCCCCAGTGGCAGCGCCCGCATGCGGTTCCATCCCAAATTTTGGCGCACCCCTCGCACGGTTCGTGGCTCGAGGTGGTACCACCGAAGGCCGCAGCGGCAGGGTCCGTATGCCGGTGCCGTCCCATTTCTGCACACCCCTCGCACGCTTCGTGGCCCCATAGGGAGCTCCACCGACAGCACCAATCGAAAAGGCCGCCTGCCGCCGACGGGCCACTTTGGCACACTCCTCAAACGCTTCGTGACCGCATAGGCGGATCCACCGAAGATGGTACTCACAACTGGGGTATGTAGCACTGCTTATGGTTGGGTCCTTCGCCAGGCTGTTTTTTTGTACAGGCCCAGGCATGCTTCCCCCCCCACCCACCACTGCCTCCTTATATGCCCTCCTCCTGGGTAGGGGCCCCAACCCCGTCCGACTTCTTGGAAGGAGGCTGCTACTCAGAAGGCGCTGGCCCTACATCTACAGATGAGGCCCGCGCCTTCTGAGAAGCAGGATTCGCATCGAAATTCTGTCAGAACGCACCCCAGGAGAGGACCGCGGATTAGCGGCATTCTTCTCCCAAACGATCATCAACATATCATTGTGACGGCAGGATGCGTCCCTGCAGGGGGGTGTTGGAGGAAACATTAAGAAACGCCCAGCAATGTTCAATTACTCACTGCGTGGAGCTCCCCATATGTGCACCTCATGTTTTATGTCATGCCATCGTGAGAGTCCGTTCATGAGCGCTTGGCCATAATAGCGGGTCCACGTGGGCGACAGGGCCGACGAAGACAAGCGAATCCGAATGCGAGTGAGAGAGTATGGGTCAGAGTGAGCTCTGAGTACGATTGAATATTAGCCTCCCATCCATTCCCCCTCCTCAAGCTGGCCGCGAACGGGCCCATGAAAACACCCCTCGCGGCTCCCCTTAGGGGTGCTGAAACCAGCGCCCCGCCTGAGACATCCTCAAAATCTGCTCTGAAAGCCAAGGATGTTGGGCATGGGCACGAGCAAACCGCCTGAGACATCCCCACAAACTGGCCGCGAACGGGCACGTGAAAACACTCCTGGCGGCTCCCTTTAGGGGTGCTGAAGGGGTGCTGAAACCAGCGCGCCGCCTGAGACAACCCCAAAATGAGCTCTGAAAGCCAACGATGTTGGGCATGAAAACAAACCGCCTGAGACACCCCCACAAACTGGCCGCGAACGAGCCTGTAAAAACACACCTGGCGGCTCCCCTTAGGAGTGCTGAAACCAGCGCCTCGCCTGAGTGATCCTCAACATCTGCTCCGAAAGCCAATGATATTGGCCATGAAAACGGACCAACCGCCTGAGACATCCCCACCAACTGGCCGCGAACGGGCCCGTGAAAACACCCCTGGCGGCTCCCCTGAGGGGTGCTGAAACCAGCGCGCCACCCGAGACATCCCCAAAATAAGCTCTGAAAGCCAACGATGTCGGGCATGAAAACAGACAGACCGTTTGAGACTTCCCAACAAACTGGCCGCGAACGGGCACGTGAAAACACCCCTGGCGGCTCCCTTTAGGGGTGCTGAAACCAGCGCGCCGCCTGAGACATCCACAAAATCTGATCCGAAAGCCAACGATGTTGGGTATGATAACGAACAAACCGGCTGAGACATCCCCACAAACTGGCCGCGAACGGGCCCGTGAAAAAAACCCTGGCGGCTCCCTTTATGAGTGCTGAAACCAGCGCGCCGCCTGAGACAACCCCAAAATGAGCTCTGAAAGCCAACGATGTTGGACATGAGAACAAACACATCGCCTGAGACATCCCAACAAACTGGCCGCGAACGGGCCCATGAAAACACCCCTGGCGGCTCCCCGTAGGAGTGCTGAAGCCAGCGCTCCGCCTGAGACATCCTCAACATCTGATCCGAAAGCCAACGATGTTGGGCATGAAAACGAGCAAACCGGCTGAGACATCCCCACAAACTGGCTGCGAACGGGCCCGTGAAAACACCCCTGGCGGCTCCCCTGAGGGGTGCTGAAACCAGCGCGCCGCCTGAGACATCCTCACACACTGCTTTCAACGCAGACGAGTCTGCCCACCAAAACAGCCAAACCCTATGAGACATCCCCACAAACTGGCCGCGAACGAGCCTGTAAAAACACCCCTGGCGGCGCCCCTTAGGGGTGCTGAAACCAGCGCCTCGCCTGAGACATCCTCACACACTGCTCTAAACGCAGACGAATCTGCCCACCAAAACAACCAAACCGCCTGAGACATCCCCACAAACTGGCCGCGAACGAACCTGTAAAAACACCCCTGGCGGCTCCCCTCAGGGGTGCTGAAACCAGCGCCACGCCTGAGATATACTCCGAATCTTCTGTGTGTTGAATAAGTCTGCGTATGAGCAAGTCTGACGATGAGAAGGTCTGAGTATGAGTAAATCTGTGTACGAGTAAATCTGTGTATGAGTACGTCTGGGTATGAGCAAGTACGGGTATGAGTAAGTCTGTGTATGAGTAAGTCTGTGTATGTGTACGTCTGGGTATGAGTAGGTCTGAGCATGAGTAGGTCTGAGTATGAGTATGTCTGAGTATGAGTAAGTCTGTGTATGAGTAAGTCTGGATATGAGTAAGTCTGAATATGAGCAAGTCCGAGAGGAGGGGAGGAGAAGAGGGAGGAGGAGGCGCCCAAGTAATAACAATAACCCCATCTTAGGATATGGGGAAAGATGATCAACACATAATCCCCAGACTATTTTTGAATATTTTTGAATAGCCCTCCTGTAGAGGGACAGGCCCGACTTGAGTCTACGGAGTTCATAATGGGGGCGGCGGAGCAGCTGGGAACAGACCCAGGCGATGCTCGAGCCGTGGACACATCGCGACGGGAGGCTTCTGGCCGTGTCTGCGCCTCGGGGGCCCTCAACCAGGCCCCGGGGCGATCGAAAAGCGACGCCCAGAGGATGACAGACTGGCCCTGGGGAGAGGGCCGGGACCTGGCCATCGCTCGGACGTCCATTCCCTGTGTTTGTTGTTCGGTTTTGTGCGTTGTTTTTTCGCCAAATGATAGAGGATGCTCCTCGATGGTCCTCGCCGAAAGAAAAATGCACACGTCCGAGCGATGCCAAGGGACTCCCCGGGGGCCCTGCCTGGATAACATCGAAGCATCGCGTCTGGGGAGACCCCTCCTCCTACTCCTCCTCCCCTCCTCCTCCTCCTTCTCCTCCTCCTCCTCCCCCTCCTCCTCCTCCTCCTCCTCCTCTTCCTCCTCCTACTCCCGCACCGCCGCCGAGAACCCACCTGGGGGGCAGACCCCCCTGGGTGGCAGGCTCGAGCTGCGCCCAGGCGTGCACGGCGCTCGGGCGTGCCGCCGTCCAGAGACCAGCGCCATCGAGAAGGGTCAGAGGAGGTTGGAGAAGATCGGGGGATGTCAAGGCTTCGCGCGCTTGCGTCGCTGCGCCCCATCTTTCGGACGCTGCGCCCCCCTCGTCGCCACGGCTGGACGGGCCTCGGAGTCCGGGTCGCAACGCGCCTCGGGAGAGGGGCAGTGCCCGCCAAACCCTCTCGCGTCGTGGAAGAATCGAGACGGGAGGTTTCTGGCCTTTTCTCGGCCCCTGGAAGCCCTCGCTGGGCCGCAAAACAATGAAAAGCGAATCCGGGGCGAAAACCTACCCCTGGGAAAAAAGATCGGGGACCCTAGGGCTGTGGATGAGAACATCGCATCGGCCGAACCACCGCCACCGAGGAAGAGCATCGGCACTCGAATCGAGAGATCGAGACTTCGCGAGGTCGAGGCCTCAAATTCGCACACACTTGATATCAGGACATCGGGATATGGGGTCGCTGGTCCCCGAACCCGGAGTATCGAGATATCGGGATCTCTCGATGTCGAGGCATCAGGTTCACACCCTCGATATCTGGATATTGGGATCTCGAGCAGCCGTTCCCCAGAACCCCGAAGTATCGAGAGATCGAGATGTCGAGACATCGCACCCCCCTATCGAGACACCGAGGTGCCGAACACACAGCGTTTGGGGGGGCCCCCCACGGCCGCCTGGCACCCGCAATCGGGCGCACCCCCGTGGCGGTATGGTGCCCGCCTCTCCTCCGCGATCAGGAGCGGCAGCCCCGGGAAGAAGGCGTGGGTGCGCTCGTCCGTGTAGCCTGCGGCGCCGAGGTCACACATTGTGAGCGTTTTCCTGCTCGGCGTTTCGACGTTTGGCGGAAGCGGGGCGGGGAAGAGTTTTCTTGCTCGGCGTTTCGACGTTGGGCGGAAGGGGGCGGGGGAAAGGGGGGGGGGTGGGGGCTGGCTCCGGATCTCTGCCTATAGCGGGAC